TATTTAATTCATATACATCATATGTCTCATATTAACTAATTTTTAGGACCCTAAGGCATGTGAAAAAAATGCTTTTGTTTTTATTCCCAATTTCTAGGAATATTTGGAGCTAAAAGGGTCAAGGAGAAAGTTAATCTCTTCTAAATTCAGCTATGACAGGAAGTTCAATAAACAGTCCCAGAAACCCATTTAATATTATATTTCTTGTCCTGCTTTTTAGATGTATGACAAACTTTTAAATGTTGCCAAAACTCCTGGGTACTTACCCAAATCTTCACTTAGCTCCAGTTCTCTTATAACTCAGTTGTGCTTAATAGGCATCAGGTCCATTAAATTTAATTGTAACCATATTGTCTCTGCTTAACAGTAAGTGGAAACGAATAGATGCCACAAGCTTTAATAGTCAGAAGGTCTGGTCTAAGCTGGCTTTTTACCGGAAGATTGTGCCCAACTCCAAGCTCCAAAGATAAGACACAGGAGAATTTGGATAGGGTTCATTAAGGTCCTTATGGGGGACTGAGGATATTCAGTCCAGAAAAGAAAATAATAAAGAATGATTTTATTTTAAAAGGTAAGTAAATAAATCTTTACTGAAGACAGTACATGAAGAGTTATTTTAGAATAAAGTTGGAAATTACTCAAATTTGGTATAAGGGACTATATTTTCTCATATCTAGAATTATCAGACCTGGAATGGAAAACAAGGGGTTATTATGGATTCTTCTCTGATGTATATAAAATGGCATGAGTCTCAGGGACGTGGGTTGGTTTATGTACGTCTTTTATGAAGATGTGTCCTTAGGTTAGGTATTTTTCAAAGTTTTTTTCCAACTCTAGGTCTCTAATACTCTCAGCCAAATATACAGTTTTCTCATATTCTACTCAGAGACAAGTAATGTTTAACTAAATCTATAAATGCGATGGAATAAATTGTAGAAAGTGGCATTATCATCTGTCTCTACATAGAGAGACTTTATGTTTAAGCATCCCTCTAAATAAAAATATAGGAACCAAACCAGCTAACTACAGATGATACAAGAGTAAAAGACAATGATGTTATACTGCATAGCTTCAGAGAGTTCATCATAAACAGATGCTTAATCAAGAAAAAAAAGAAAAAATCCATTGCCATCAAGTCGATTCCAACTCATAGCGACCCTATAAGACAAAACAGAACTGCCCCATAAGGTTTTCAAGCCTGTAAATCTTTACAGAAGCAGACTGCCACATCTTTCTCCCACGGAGAAGCCGGTGGGGTCAAACTGCCAGTTGAAAATACGGAAAGATAAGCTGTTTACCACAAAGTCAGCCACATTGACAGCTCCAGACAACATTCGAAAAAAAATGAAATTTGTCTTAGATGCCTCCCTACACCCATGTCTCAGACCTCCAGTATTTTTTTACTGCTACCTGGTTGTTTGGAGTCAATCCCAAAAGTAAATGTATGATTTTTCCCTCTCCACCATAAAGTCAAACCCTCTGTTTATAAATTTTCCCAGGTCTGACACCTAGAATTAAAAAAATTTTAGTCCTGTTATACATTCTTTCAAAGTTAAACTGATTAACTAATCCATGCCAAAAGATGACATATCCTTAAAAGGTTCTGTATCTATTTCTGTAGTGCTTCTGCTGCTGAGAATTCTAGGCCATTAGCTAGAATGGGACTGATGGGACATTTTGTTTTGCCCCTGGAAATCTACCAGCCAGGTGCCTAACTCATCTATCTATGTGTTTGGATCAGCACAGATGAACTAGCAACCAAGAAAAATCTGAATTTATATGTTGAAATATCTTTCTATTTTATTTCTCCTGAACCAAATATAAATAGAATTCATATGTTTTTCTAAATCTACAATTAAATCATTCATTCAAATGCTGTTTATAATTGACTATTTCTACAAACTCCCAAAAAGGGAGAAAAAAGGAGCTGTGTCTAATTCATTTAACAATGATTGCAACACACTGAGCTCATCATACGAATTGGAAGGATTTGTTAATTATGTCTCTATAATGGAGAATTTAATTTTCTCTGCTTCATTAATTGATAATAAAGAACGATTTGCAGGGATTTGAATTTTAAACAGCATTTATAACAGGTGATTACTAGACTATTCAATTTGTCTGCTAGGCAATATTAGTGAATTTAAGAGATTTGTTTAGTTTTACCATTATTTAAAGCTGCACATAATTTTTGTTGTTAAAGAGCACATTGGTTTTGAGGGCTAGAAGAAGCAATTGCTTAAGAAAGGTCATTTAATACATACAAGATTTTTTTTTTTGGTCATTATAGTTTGTTTAGTTTGAAAGAGGTCTTCAAACATATTTGAAGTAAATGAAATTGTTAGATAGGACAGAAATAATTAGTACAGGTGAGATTATGAAGATTCTGTTCATCTCTTTATATCTTAACTTTTAAATATCACATGCAAAGGTTCTATTTCAAAATATAGTCATTAATGACATCTAACATTTATGTTGTATTTTACAATTTTAAGGTTTGTTCATATTAACTCTTTTCATCATTATGACCTCCTTATTAGGTAGAAAGGATGGACATTATAATCTCTATTTTATAGATGAGAAAATAGACCACATGGCTAATAATGACCAGGTTAGGTTTGGTTTGTTAGGTTTTTTTGTTATTGCTTGCTTGTTTGTTTGTATTCTTAGAGTTCTTTCCCCAACAATCATAGTGCTAGAACATTTTTACAGTGAAAGCCTTTTTTTTTATTTTTTGCCATGAGAACCTATTACTAGTCCAAAAATCTCTTTCGTACACACTGATGCAAGTGTTATACACAGCCAAAGGCTGATCAGTCCCTTGTAAACTATTCTGGTTTCCACAAAGGAAGATGAAGGTGCAAGAAGATGGATTACTAAAATGATGTAGTTCTCTGTGAGATGCTATTTGCATCTAAGTTCTTTTCAATGGTGCTTATAAACAGAAGGATGGGGTCAATTTGGGGAATAGGGCAATGCCATCTAATGATTGGGAAGTCTGGTAAGAAAAAAGCTTGGTTCCTAGGGATAGTTAAATATAACTTCTAATCTACCAAGCTATGTGGTCCAGACAAAGGGCCTATTTAAAGTTTGGGTTTGCTTGTCTACAGGGCCTGGAGGTCTGCTCACATTTGCAGAGCCCTCACGATGTAGGCAAACCTAAACTTTCAGGGCTAGCGTCATGCCTTAGGAAATGCATGTGCTTTGGAATCAGAATTACTGAGCTTCTCTCTGAAATCTGTCACTTCTAGAAGAATAAATCAGTAAAGATGGCGTCACCTCTCTGATACTTTCTTCAACTGTAAAATTCACATATTTGACATTCATGAAACAATAGTTACTATTTTTTGGAGCTCAAATGAGAGCCATGAAGGTCACTTACATGACTTCACTATGTTAAAATAAATGGTAACAATGCCTGCAGAACTCTGAAAGCTGCTCTCTGCTAGATAGAAAGGCATCATCCAGGATACCTGGAAATCAAGTTTGGTAACATTCTTCACGGCTAGCCTAGGGAGGTAACTTTTAGTACGTTGTGGAAAAGTCTGCCACTGTGAGCTAGCAATGATGGAGAATTACTATAAAATTACCTCAAAACTGAGAAAATTTAGTCATTATGATTTTTCAGTTATTTTTATTTGTAAACTGTAAGTACATCATCCACTAGTACCTCTTATTAAACTAAATATAAGTAAATTAATATTTATTAAGTGAAATAATATATTTTAAAATGCTATAGCACTTTAAGGAGCCCTGATGGTACAGTGATTAAGAGCTTGCCTGATAACCAAAAGGTCGGCAGTTCAAATCTGCCAGCTGCTCCTTGGAAACACTGTGGATCAGCTCTACTCTGTTCTATAGGGTCACTATGAGTCGGAATCAACTCAACAGCAACTGGTTTATTCTTTTTTTGTGGGAGAGGGGGAGTTTATAGCACTTGAAAGATATAGAGTCAAATTATAATTCTTTGTTTTCAACAGGAATGTATTAGCTTACATGTTTCCCATCCGCTGAACATTTTCCTGTATTTGGGCAGAATGATGAATATTCTATTAAGATTTTCCTTCCTTTTCATATGTGTATTTCTTTAACTTTAAATTAAATTACCCTTAAGTTAAATGTAACTGAAAAAGTCAAGCACTATTTTGCCCTGGAATTCTTAAAAAGGATCATTCACTACAACCTAAACTGAGATTTTTAATGTTGCACTATTCAAACTCTTTTTGTCCACCCTTGTTTTTTATACCTGCAAAAAATCCAACATCAAGTTCTGCCTGGTTACATGTTAATGCCATGACCTTTGCTGTCCTACTTGTATTTCTAGAAGCAGCACTTAAATGCGAGATAAAATTCACCCAACTCAGTAAGTAAATAATGTTTGTATCTTAGAGATCACAGTCCTTTATCAAGAACAATAATGCAGCTTTACTTTTTACGGGAAGTGGAAAACAAAACCTCAACAAATGGATGCAACCCTCTGGAAGGGCTCTCAAAGGGCAGGGCTGAAAATTGATCTGGTTACTTGTCAATTGCATTATTCAGAGATGACATCAGCACCAAAGCTGTAGCCAAGGCTGGCTCGTAGCCCACTCCGTGACAGCCTTTCATAAATAAAAAACCTACTCTGCAAAGATATAAGCATCTCTAGGGCTGTAATTTGAGCTTTGAAACCTAATTAAACAACTTTCCACTAGCCTCATTAATAAGCACTGAACCAGATTCCGTACAAACACCTGAACACGTGACAGCCGGCGCTAACAGAACATTTCACGGAGTATCATTATCCACGTGTCATTCTAGAGGAAAAGCAAGCTTGGGACTGAGACAGGTCCTACAATATTTCTCTGTGGTTTCGTTTATGATCCGTTTTGTAGGTTAGCTTGTTGGATTACTGTTAACTGAAATCCAGAATTAAAACCTCTTAGCAATGACATGCTCTTTGATGCTCTTAACACAATTCTATTCTTTCTATCAGTGTGAAAGACAGCATGCTTCTTTACCTGGGGGATTATGTTCATTGAGAATCACAAGTGATGCTGGTGTGGGTCTTCTTTTCCTGATCTGTGAACAACAAAGGCCCAGCTAATGTCAGTGAGAATCAGACACTGCCCCCAGGCTACTCTACAGCTTGCAAAGCAGCCCTTTTCAAATCTTTTCCCAACATACAAATGCAGTCATCTGAAGGGCACACAGTAGATGCTCAGGAATTTTATTTTGAAATAATAGAAAGCCAGGCAGTAGAACTTTCAGATATTAGTATCCCCTTCTTTGACCAAAAAGCTATACTTCCATAGAAAAGAAATAGCTGTATAATGCAACTGAAGGCATGGGAATGACTTGCTAATTTTAATGCCTCTTTTGGAGACTCATAATATTGGTGATGCTTTCAAGATCCTTTATCCTTATTTCTAAACGTGGTTAGAGAAGCTTGGAAAACTCAAATTTCTAGAAGTTACCATTATTAGAGTTAATAGAGTGAATTTTTAATTTTAAGTTACATTAGCTTTTTAAAAATTTTCTAGTAGAATGTTTAAATAAATCAACAAATAGAGAATGAATATGTATCTTTTGAGAATATGTAATTCACTTAAAGCTAAGGTTTGGGGTGTGAGTGTTTTGTTTTTTGTTTTCGTTTTCTTAGGAATTACAGGCGTATACTATGATTAGAATCTCTAATGTATCCTTGATTCCTTGAATATACTTGTTCATAGGTGAAATCCCAAAATACAGATAAATAAAATAAAGGACAAAATTTTGTGGCCAGAATGGAATCAATGCCTCATTCAGCATAGTGACATATTCAAGATGGTATTTATTTACCTGGCCTGAGTCTGAGTGAATCTACTTCAAATTATCAAAACATCCTAGAAAGTTATAAGTCTTAGATTTTACAATTATTTTTAAGCCCTTGTACCAAATATTTTGAAAAAGAATCAGGGATAATTTGAGTTTTAAGAAATTAATGATTTAGGTTGGTGACTTGGTAAATTTCTTTGCGTTTGCCTTGCCACAATTGCAGTCTTACCACAAATGATCTTTTAAGTGGTACCACTGCATCAAGAGTCTAATATGAATGCAAAAGGTGATGCAGATGTAAACAATCTCACATTTTTTCTATAGATAAATAAGGAGAGAGAGAAAAAAGGAGGCAGAGGTACAGATATACAGATACATTAGACATGGAAAAAGAATCCAGGAAATGTTAAAATATTATTTATAATCTTTGAATAAAATTTTCTAAATTATAAATATACCTGAAAACCCTATCTATAATGTATTACATATACTTAAAGTTTATTAGTGCTTTGGATATATAATGAAAAAAATGTTAGAGTAAAATATTAAGTAAGTCTATAATCTGGAATTATTCAATCATTTAGTGCATTCGTTGTTGAATCAATCTTTTTATTTTACAAATAATGAAATAAAATGTTGCTAATTTTGAGTTTTTTTAGAAATTGTTCTAAATGCTGCACTTGTTATTTTAATAACCGAAAACAGATTTTTTTCATCCAAATCTGAATTGCTGATATAACCATTTTTCCCTAATGGGTGCTAATTTTGTATCAAAGGAAGGGATGCCTTTTAGTCACTAATTCCCCCAGTGCAACTCAAATACAAGTGTGTAGAGAAACCAGCCTATTTCTCATTCACGTATCCTGAAAGTCACAAAGCTAGGCATAGTCAAGAGGTAGAGAACCTTTCCATCAACAACAAGAACATGGTATTCCGTATGAACTTATATATGGGAACTGGTTCCCACCCAGTTCTGCTTACCTGCTCTGCTGCTTCAGGTGCAATCTGACTCTGGAATAAAGGCACAGCAAATTGTATCTTTTTGGGGCTGTTGGGCTCCATGATAATGATGAGAATTAGAGTCAAGAAGAGCTCAGAAAGACAACCCCAAGTGATGTCTGGGATGTTTCCTCAGGCGCACTCCACCAAGCCACTCAGAGTGCTTCGTAATAAATAGCTGTAATTCCAGAGTGAGCGAGTGAAGATGCCGAGGCTTGAGTAACTCCCTTCTTCCACATCCACAGTGATGCCTGGCTTGCCTGTTCCCCCACCAATCCCTTGGATCCTCTCAGCACAATACGGAAAGGAACAATAAGCTAATTGTGTGCCTCTTCACTAATACACATGCCAAGCATTCACTCAGCAGCTAATTGAAAATGCAATGCTAGCCTTGAAGGACCCACTGCCCTGGGATTTGAAAGAAAGGCTCTATCCACTGTACATTACTAACTGGCTGATCAAAAGTGCAATGTAAGCTCCCTCTGAGTATTGCAGGGATGGGCCGTTCATTATTGATGAACATAAAGCAGGAAGTTTTTAGAGTTGGGGGCAGGGTTGGGGTATGGAATCATTTCATTTCTCTTGTAGCAACTTATAAGTCAGACACCTTTGCTATTTCATATTCAGCCACCAAATAGATGAATGTCCATAGAGGGTAAGCCACAACCAATAATTTCTGCTATATTTATGCTGTAAGATCTGGTTAGGTTAGACTGAGAACAGGAGGCAGAGCATCTGTGGTGTCCCCAGGGCTCAGCAGATCTTGGTTCAAGTTCTAGTTCTACCGTTAACAAGCTCTGTGACTTCAAGCAAATCACAGGCTACATCTAGGCCCCCTGCCTTCATCAGAAAAATGAGGGGGTTGGACTCAATGACCTTTAAGCGCCCATTCTGTTCCAGCATTCTATAATTGTAGTTCAGTTTTTATTAGAGTGGAAAGTATTGGACAGCTAAATTTAGCAAACAGCTTGGAAGTCATTGCTGCTAAAACGACCTCTATTTTATTTCCTGGTGGAGCCAGCTATATTCTCTGATTTGGATGAATAGAGAAATGACTAGAAAACATCAGTGGAAACCTAATGGTATCTGACAATGTGGTTTGTTGTCAATACTGGGATTACATGCAAGCATAAGCACTTGAGAAAAAGCACGAAAGGGATAACTCCAGAATGATAGAGGATGATGGGCATACTGGCTAGTGGTGAGGGAAGAGGAGACACTGGCCTGCTCTCCATATTTGTTTATGTCAAAGAGGAGTCAGGAAGAATAGCCAGATTGCTTTTATGCTTTCATTTACACTTGTGAAGGAAACCTGGAAATGAAACTATTTTAATGGAGAAATAACTTCAGCTCTCTACTTTCTTATTTGAAAGGAACCGTTTGATGACTACTAGATTTTTTCTATCTTTCTTTTTTGATACCTGTCTTTGGATTTATATAATACATTTAGAGAGTGACTACTATTCCAGAACATTCCTAGATTGCCCAAATGGCTTGCTCTCAGCTACTAACCTAAAGGTTGGTAGTTCAAACCCACCCAGCAGGGCCTCAAAAGAAAGGAGCTTGGCAATCTGCTTCCATAAACATTTTTTGTTGTTAGTTGCCCTTGAGTCACTTCCAACTCATAGTGACTCTGTGTGTGCAGAGTAGAACTGTGCTCCATAGGGTTTTCAAGGCTGTAACCTTTTGGAAGCAGATCACAAGGCCTGTCTTCCAAGGTGCCTCTGTGGGTGAGTTTGAACTGCCAGCCTTTTGGCTAGTAGTAAAATGCTTAACCGTTTGCCACCTAGGGACTCACCATAAAGATTGCAGCCATTGAAAATCCTAGCTGCCGTTCTACTCTGCAACACACAGGGTCACCAGGAGTCGGAATCAGCTCAATGGCAATGAGTTCGTTTTGTTTATGTATCTACTTCTACTACTCCAGGTATTTACAAATGATGTTTTCTTTCTTTCTTTCTTTCTTTTTTATTCCTCTTTTAAATTCTGATTCCTTACCAGGAGTTCATCTTTATGATTTAAGTGTGTGATGTTCTGTTGAAAGAATATAGAAAGTAATATGCATTATTGAAGTAGTTTTCTGTACCCACGGGGGGAAAACAGCAAATGAAGATGTGGATGAGAAAGCACTTTCAGTTGGAGAACAGTGCTGACCAGCAAGAAATCATGTGCTTTCATCCTTACAGTGGTGAAGTGAAACTTATCAATTGCAACGTTTTATATATAACAGTTTATAAAAAGTCCCCAGAAAGAAAATCTGAATTAATATCATTAATGAGGTTACTTCTCTGAATATTTCCTCAAATTATATTAAAGGAAAATGAAAAAAATATTTTTAGCAAGGAATTAATCCAAATTTTTCACTTAGTGTAGTTATTAAGAGAATGGGCTTGGCAGCCTTGAGTTCCAGCTCTGGCTCTGCTGCTTGTTAAGTTTACGAACTTTGGCAGTAATAGAACTTTCTTCCTGTGAGGTTTAGGTGAATTAATTCCTAATGTGCTCATTGGAAGGCTGGCACATGATAGCTACTCAGGAAGAGATAGCTACTATTTTTCTTTCAGCCAGATCTTCAAAAGGCTTGAAGATGTATATTTTTAACCTATATAACTAAGAATCTCACTTATTTGGAATAATTTGACACCAGTTAGGACAATGGGTGAAAAAGTGAAATTTCATGTATATGTTATGGTGTAAATAGCAATAAAAAGATTCTCATTAACCAGTTGTCTTATTTTGAATAGTTTGATCAGAGATTACATTACAAAGGGCATATTAGTGCTTTAAGCTTCTTGTTCTTCAACAGGCCAACTCCTGTGCACCCTTCAGGACTCAGCCAAGAATTGTTGCTTCTAGGAAGCTTTTATAGACCTACTCATATTGGTGTTGTGTTTAGCCCCACCTCTTCTGTGTTCTCAAAGCACCCAGCATACCGCTGTTCAGTACAATAACTACCTGTGTCTTAACTGTTTAGCAATTCCCAACACCGCTCATTGACATAGCAAGTATTTTTGGAATATATATGACAATCTACTGCATGCCATGTCCTGTGCAACAGCACTAGGCGCTGTGAGTCACTAGAGCAGAGATTGCATTAAAAGATGTTTGAGATCCTTTTCAAGCTAAATTGCTATTCCAAGAAGCTATTAAAAAGAAACTTAAATTTGAAATAATCCAAAATTATAAATATGGATTTTACATGAAGAGGTATAGTTGTACTAAATATTAGGTGTACATTTTCTCCCAATGAGAGATAAGAATAACAGCTAACCCTTATATGACCCTTACTGTGTGTCAGGCACTATTCTAAGTGTTTTTACCTGTATTAATTTATTTAGTCCTCACAACAACCCTTTGAGGTAGATACTATTGTCATCCCTATCTCCAATTTAAAATGAGAAAACTGAGAATCAGATTGTTTAGATAACTTGCCCAAGGTCATCCAGCTAATACGTTGCAGAGCTGAGATTTAAACCCAGTCAGTTTTTCCTTGAGCCTGGGCTCTTGATCATGATGTGCTACTATAATTTTCCTTTAATTTCTTGAGTGGTCTGTGAAATGTTTTAATAGCATCTTCCGCTCTACTCATTTGTATCTGCAATAATCCTCTATAGAATCCGAATTGAAATTTATATAACAGTGAAACCAATATCAAGTAAAAAATATTCTCAGAGTGTAATCTTCTGTATGTTACTTTAATTAGCATTCATTGCTATCTCTTGGATTTCTGTGGGGAAGAGACAAATAGCATGCACACGATTTAAATCAACCCTAGATAGTGGTTTCAAGTTTCTTTCCTTACTTGACTTTTTATTTTTTACCTAAAACTCTCTCCATATATGTACATATAAGCCTTATGTTAGAAATATTCCAAGGTAGCATAATTAATTGAGTTAAGTCTCATCTCTTACCCCTAAATCTTGCCTTGGGAAAGTGCTAATACTTAGGAGAATGTTTAAAAGGCAGGATACAAGGAAGAAAAGAGAGGAGGCAAAATGTCTGCCTAAGCTACAATTTAATTTGCCAATTCCGGAAATAAAAAGTTGGTGCTAACAGTAATTGATTTGGCAACCTTTGCAAACAATTTTTTTTTTTTAAAGAAAATAGGATGTAAATTTGAATTAAATATACATATGACTTGAAAGTCTCATACTATATTGATGTCAGTAGGGCTATACATTATATGAATTCTGTATTCATATTGAGTATGTTTTTACTTTTTCAAGAAATTGACCAAGTGTATTTGATTAGAGAATCTCTATGGAACGAAGCCAATTGTTTTCTGTACTCTTGGTGTCAGAGAAAGATCTATTTTACCAAAAATCCCTTTTCTTCTGATTTTATGTCTCAATAAATGATTTGCTCACAGTTGACACTGTAACACTCATCGTTTTGCCTTTTTTATTATCATTTTATTATCATTATTATCATTTTATTATCATTATTATCATTTATATATCATTATATATATCATATATAACCTTAATAAACAGCTCTCTTCTGTCTTGCTTTTTCTGTTCCACTCCATATCTCCTGTATAAATGGTAGTTACACGTGCAGTATTTTGTATACGGTCTCTCAGTTGTAACTTCCATTTAAACACAAAAAGTTCTTTATAAGATGAATGCAAGTTTTGGCTTCATGTTGGTGCAATTTAGCAATTTCTGGCTCTGAGTGGACTCAAAAGAAAGTGATAGCCATTCTTGTTTGTCTATGTTTCCGTGCACAATGTAAGCTTATTCATATCCACAAATAATCTTAAGTAATGGAGCATTAAAAAATAGAATAATTTACTGATTAGCGTGAGTCACCTCCAGCAAAAGCAAACATCTTATTAAGAACAGGAAACCTGTATTGAACGTCTGAGAGCATTTTCCATTGTTTCTTGGTCATGCTGGTCTAGAGTGACTCTGGTCTGGTCTGTAAGTCAGAGTTGCTTATTGGTCACATTTATTTCACAGCAACCTGTTGTGGGGATCACTAGAGCCACCCCCTACTCTCTGTTTCTTGAAAATTTGAAATATTACACATCTTTTTCATGATTTCCTGATCACCAGGTTAAAAAAGTATAATTAACATACGACTCATTATACTGCTTGTGTAATATATGCATAATGATTTTGGAAGAAAGGATATCATTCTTGATTCAGAAAGAACATGAAATGTCCAGCAGCTTGTAATGTGCTGAGCCTTATTTTCCAGTACAAATAATGAGTCTTGGAGCAAAATGGATGCTAGGAGTAGGTGATTAATAAAGTATGATAAGGAAATCAGCTGAGATCATCATCTGGCGCTTTAGAGAAAACAGAAATAAGAGTACCTTATTTTTCAGACATCTAAGGCCACATACCCTACAGCCACTGCTGCACTTCTTACTCTATCTTTAATAACCCAAGCACTTTCACTACGCTGTTCTCTTTGTGCATGTGGTCAATTTGCTTTCAGTAGTCTTCCACCCTAACCTTTGCTAACTTGGCTGACACTCATTCCCTCAGGACCAAGTTTGAATGCC